CTTGATAATATACAGTAATAAGTTAAAGTGGTATTTACACAGAAAAACTTTTCTTTTCTTTTTTGTTTTGTTTAGTTTTTGGGAGTCAGAGTCTCATGCTGTCGCCCAGACTGGAGTGCAGTGGCATGATCACCACAGTTTTGACCTCTTGGGTTCAAGCTAGCTTCGCCTCAGTCTCTCAAGTAGCTGGGACTACAGGCTCACACCACCATACCTGGCTAATTTTTTGGTGTTTTTTCTTTTTGTAGAGACAAAAAGAAACAGTCTCGCCACATAGCCCAGGCTGGTCTCGAACTCCTGGGCTCAATCAATCCTCCCTCCTCAGCCTCCCAAAGTGCTGAAATTACAGGTGTGAGCCAAGGCACTCAGTCCAAAAAAAAAAAAAAACCTATCCTTAGTGGTGTTTTCTAATGAAGGAAGCAGTGACAAAATTAGGTACAAATAAGTCTAGGTAACAATCTTCCAGTGCATTTACTTAAAACTGGCTTTAAGCATTTTAAATCCAATTTTTCAAACTCCAAGATAGTCCTTGTTAAAGGATACAAAAGTAGAAAAGCAAACATGGGTAGGATGTTATTCTAAAATTTTTCTATCTATTATAGGTATTAATGTTTCCACTCCAATTTACAAAATCTTTGAAAGAAAGTGTTGTTCAAAGCTCTACTATCTATGAATACTTGCCAAATAGTACACTGAGCAAATAACTAAATATGTGGCCATTTTCCAGTGGTTTCTCTCTAGCCAGAGACCTAAAGCCAAATAGACTAGTCCAACACTATAACAAGAGAAAAGTAAAACATAGAATCAGCAAATATTTAAACTAGAACACCTTCATTATAAATATAAGGAAAAGGAAGCACAAAAAAATCTTAATGACTAAACAACATAAAAAAACTTAGGTATCCCAACTCTCAGCCTAGGACTCCAGTATTTTTCAAAAGTAGGGAACAAAAATCAATTTGACAGTTTGCAACTAGCACCTCTAAAAAAAAAGATAAAACAGAAACCATCAAGAGTAGACTGTACACACTACAGATTTCATTTTATGAAATGTTTCTTTCAGCTCATTTATTTTTGCATACACAGACACATGCATGTACACACAGTTATACATCTACAGAGTCTTTTTTTCCTCTCTCTCTCTCTCTCTCTCTCTCTTTTTTTTTTTAGTTGATGTCTCACTATCACCCAGGCTGGAGTACAGTGGCACGATCCCAGCTCACCGCAGTCTCAACCTCCTGGGCTCAGTTAATCCTTCAGCCTTAGACTCCTAAGTAGCTGGGATTATAGTCGTGTGCTACCATGTCTGGCTAATTTTTTTATTTTTATTTTTGTAGACATGAGGCCTCGCTATATTTTTTTGTTTGTTTTTCTTTTTTTTTTTTTAAAGATGGAGTCTTGCTATATAGCTGAGGCTGGTCTTAAATTCCTGGGTGCAAGCAATCCTCCCACTTCAGCCTCCTGAGTAGCTGGGATTACAGACGAGCACCACCATGTCCAGCTATCTATGGAGTCTTGATATAAAAAGATGTCTTGCTATGGGTTGTTGCAAAAAAGTTTTAGAAACACTGCATTTCACACTGTCTGTCATGAAGTACTTCCTCGTACTTTTATGCAAACATTGCAATAGCAACATTAAAAATATTAATAGCTAATCCTACCTTAAAATCTCATTCAAATTCCATTTTTGCATTTATTTGGTGCTCTATTTTTTGTGCCATTATGACTACTGCTAAAGTCCCTATCAACAGCAATCACAGCAACGAGCAGGCAGAGAAACTGTCTCTCAGTCAAAGGTGCTACAAGAACTACTGCCTGTTAGTCTCCAAAGGCATTTCAGGAAATATGGCAGTATGTTCACCAGTGTTCAGAGGTTCAGCTGGTTCTCTCCAAAGAAGACTCAGAAATAAGCCCTCCACAGACTTGAAGCCAGAATGTAACTTGAGGGGAAAAGGCCCATTCCTAAAATATTTTTTCCACATATTGCCTGAGGCTGATATCTGGGGAGAAAAATTTAACTTAGAACATAGCCCATCCACTCCATAATCAAGAATACGATTCAAAGTGTACCGCCTTGACAGGAGCTATACTAAAACTCCAGCTAAGATACCAAAATATGAGTCTTAAGATAGCAGATCATTTTTATTTGATTTTTTTCCATCGGCAACTGTGATCAGATCATTTTTAGATGGTATCTTTGGGAGAGGCAAAGACAACAGCACTGAAGTTACCAAAATAATACAAAAGAAAACAGGTAGAGCAAGGCAGGGACAAAAATAGAAAATGTTAGGGCAAAAGGCAAGCTAACTTAGCACAGTAGTGCTACAGTAAAAGCTTAATCTAAAATATACTAAGCAGCGCTAGGTACTACAATCATCAAGCCAGACCTGCCACAGCCTCGGCCAACCATGTTTTGTGCCATGTGACCCCACTTCCCCTTCCACAGCTAACTAGACTAGTAAGGCTGGCACCCTTGCCAGAGGCCGTCTACGAACAGCAGTCCCAGAGAAAGCCAGAGTTGGCAGAAGGCGTTAAAGAGAAGTCCCCAAAATATATAATAAAGTTGGGTTAGGGAATTGACAGGCTGGAGTTCTGAAGGGCAGGCATAATTGGTACAGAGGCTATAAACAAAAGAATAGAGATACAGATACTAGAGAAAGAACTAAGCATGTCAAAAACGCAGAGAACACATGTGCAACTCATGAGAGACAGGGATGACCAGGTCAGCAGATTCTGATTTCCGGGAGCTTTCTCGTTCTTTCAGGTGTATTCCTGTCCTCAAGATAGTTTGAAAGAACTGTATGACCTGAAGCAGAAAAAAAAACCCAAAGATGCAAATAAATGACTAAAAGGGTTTATACCAATTTTCTCTCCAGACTAAAAAGAACCTCTAAAAGCCCTTATTATTAAGTCTGAGCTGGAAGAGTCCCTGGAATCAGACCAATTCACTATTTTAGAGATGAGGAAATTGAGGACCACAAAGCAATCTAAGGTTGCACAGACAGCGACACAGCTAGGACAAGAAGCAAGGTCGCTTATTTTTGCAGTCATCATTCTGACCCACACTACACTAAATAACACCAACATAGAAATATTTTCCGGCTGGGCTGTGTGGCTCAGCCTGTAATCCCCGTACTTTGGGAGGCCGAGGCGAATAGATTGTCTGAGCCCGCAGTTCGAGACCAGCCAGGGCAGCTTGGCGAGACCTCATCTCTACAATAAAACAAAAAAATAACCAGGCGTGGTAGCGCGTCTGTAGTTCCAGCTACTTGGAAGGCTGAGGCGGAAGGATCGCCGGCGCCCAGCAGGTCGAGGCTGCGGTGGCCAGGAGTGTGCCACTGCACTCGAGCCTGGGCCACAGAGTGAGACTCCAACTCAAAAAACAAAAGAACTATTCTCCTCAAAACAAGTATTTTTCCGACACATTTTAAACCGAATCAGAAGTTATGTGTCTTTTTCCACAAGTTAGTTTCCCACTCATTTACTACCTGGCTCTCTGCTTATCCTAAAAAAGCATTCATTAGATTTCTGCTCTTCTTGGTCACTTACTTCTTTAAAACTCATCCATCACGAAAGACATGAAACTGACAATTCGTCAGGCCTCCTGGCTTCTCCCTCTACAACTACATATTTAAAAGCAGCATTTACTCAGGACACATTATTGCACATATTGCACAACAGTGTTTGAACTCAAAGGAGTATAGAGAAGACATTTTAAAAGAAAAATAAATTTCAATTAAGGATCATCAAGATTTCCTTGAAGAAACCAATTGTCAGTAAATTTCAGGAAAACCGATGCAAGAACAACCGAAACTGAAAAGAAACTACCTGGGAAATGTATCAAGCCATTCCTTATTAAGTGTACCGCATTCAAAGTGTCTTGAGAACAAATAACTACAACTAGGAAATACAAATCCCGAAGGGAGAGGAAAATGATTCATCCGTGAGAAAGGGCAGAAAGAAGAAGAAAAAAGTTGACATAGGGTAAAAATGGTGAAGTCCAGTAACAGGATTGCGGGACACCTGGATGCTTACTCCGGCAAAACAAACACTTAAGCTCCTCTAAGGCTCCCCAGAGGACACGACTTGGGGGCGGGGCGGGGGTGTGTGTGAATAAATCCTTGCATCTCCGAAGCTGATCCACAGAAAAGCAGAGTCATCAATTTCCTAAGAACATTCTCAGCCATCTTAAAACGGCGGAAATTAGGAAGACGGCATATTTCAAAGAATTGTTTGTTTAGTAGGTTTAAGATAACAAAGTATAAAGAGGAAGAAGGCACAACCTAGGGTGTTAATGACTAAACAAAGAAAAGCACAAACTCCCAAGTCCAGAGGCCACTTCGGTCCCGGCGAATGAAAGGTATCACATTCAAAGGATCTTTTCACCAAGTGAGGCACTAATGACGTTATGGGTATATTACTTCTTAATTCTAACAACTTAAAGGTGTATTTTCATTGGTGAGAAAACTCAGGCTTACAGCCTTGGCGCAACCAAAATCACAAAGGCGGGTGGCTAGGCGCGCAGGATTCGAACCCGGGCAGCCGAGACATT